ACCACAAACACACAACCACAAACACACAACCACAAACACAACCACAACCACAACACAGCACACAACCACAGCACACAACCCGAGGACCCACAAGCAACATCGAGAACTACAATACTGACGACTATGGCAACATGCTCCTCACTATGGCATCAAGACAAACGATTGAAATGTCATGGTGGGGATCACTCGAAGTCAAGTAATTCATGTTTTTGTGTTTGTATAGTGTCCACTTCCTGAAAAGAACAACACTATTGATTATGCCGGGTTCTTTTTGCTTTGCTGTTTCACAAGGTTTTGCAATAAAACTCCACCCAATGTCCTTGTGAAGTCCCACGCCCTTTTCCTGACTTGGAGACCTGTTCATTCTCCTTCCATAGGTTGTTTGATTGGAAGGAACTCGATCGGACAGATTCCATCACCCACCGTGGAACATATATACATTCACATGCCTACTAGGCATTTGATGTTCTTGTGATTGCACATTGCACACCATCAGTTTTCGCACGAACCCCTCAAGCCAAATGGACCCAAAGGGTGTCCACCAAAAATGAAACGCCGTTTGGATATCCCTCAGCCAGGAGGTTGCTCATTCATGCTAGCTTATTCAGGGCAGAAGTAACGGATTGGAACAGTTTTGCTCGAATCCTACTATGGCCTGGTACTTTGCATGGCCCTTTGAACATAGTTTTGCTTTGAAACATGTGCTTTGTCATTTCTTGGCATGGTTCACTCGAAGGACTTTAGCTCCTTGCCAAGACAGGTTACAACAGCTCGGACATTGCGCTGATTGGGCAGCAGTTCTTCCACGACTCGAGACATCAAGTCGTGTCTCACCTCACAGAAAATTCGTGGGGGCAACGCTAATGTATTGTTGGCAGCTCATAGTCTCAGTCTCATAGTTGCCAGACGCAGTCAGTCTAGCTGCAATTATTTTCCAGTGGACGTCAAAGTACGTTTCTAGTAGTTCGGTGACGGAAGCTGAAAATGTGACAAACTGTTGCCTCATGTTCAAACGAAATCCACACCGCCCGAGGAGAACTAGATTGAGCGCTGTTCGGGACTCAGTAAAACTTTGAAAATCCCTGTTCTGTAATCAGCGCTTTCTTTGTCAATTGATTGAACGGACAAGAATTGGGGGAGGTAACCCAGTATCCCATCAACGAAAGCAAGCACCAAAGGACAACAGATGGCAGCTCAGTGCTTAACCTCAAAAGGAAGAACCCTCAGCCGAGGGAGGACACTCTTTGACTTTGTGGAGGTGACAGGCAAGGTGACAAACAAACTTAGTCCTTATAGGACTACATCTGGGAATGACTCAGGCACACACACACGGATGTACCGCTGACCAGTCTTCTGGAAAGATTTCAGGCAGAGGTCACATAGGCGGCCCGAAGCAAACAGCGTGCCCCAGGCATGACAAACAAACAGGACCGAGCCACACTGAGGTCGAAACCGAATCCTGTACTCTGACATATTCAGACCACACTATTTCTAGCATTGCCAAAGTTGCCCCGTAGCTGCCTGCTATGGGGGGACTGTGTGCATGCCGATATCAGTTGATTGATGCTACAGTTTCTGGAAGGAAGACTTGCTGAGAACGTTGGAGAACCAGGACCATTGCCTTCATGTTTGGAAGCAGATGGCAGCTGCTGAGTTTTTGAGGTGTTGCTTCTCATGCTTGCGGCAGTTCAGTTCATAGCAGTCGCCGTCCTTACCTCAGATAGTAGAACATTGTAGTCAAATCATCGACGAGTATCTATCTATGATCATGCAATGTTTGCCAGAAATGTATCCAATCATTCTTCCTATCGACAGTATGATTGATCAAGTGACTCGAAGGCCCATCTCACAAGCTTTTTGGATTTTTCGGAAGTGACATACATGATTTATGCAACATTATCAGGCATGACTTTATTCTCTTTGAATTTTGAATGTTCAGCCACTTCGAGGTGCCCAGTGCTGTACTGTGCAGGCCGCCACCACAAATCGAGGCACATGGATTGTCTCGGTCATTTGCAAAGGCTACGCAGGCTATGTGATGTTTTAGTGAGTTTTGCGGCTAACATATGTAGTTACGGCCCCGTAATGTAAGATGCACCTCATACCGTCGTTCCGCAGGGTTTGGGCTTTAGCTGTGAATGACCTGCCCTGTGCGCGCGGGTTATTTCAAGGTAGCCCGTGTAGGTGTTGTCGAACTCACAAGAGGGTCCGTGAGTTGTTGTGCGGGGGATTGCTACTTCGGGATCAAGAAGAAGCTCTTGCAATCCTTCGTACTGCTGCAGGGGCTCTGCTGGACTTGGCCGAGGTTGCGGCTCCGATCTTAGCTAAGGAGCGCCTGGACTCAAATCGCATTGGGTTCACGGACGACGTTGGAGGTGGCATTACTTTGACTCCCATCGATCGTATACGGGAGTGACTGGCCTCTGTTTAGTTAGGAGTTAGGAGTTTTTGGTTATGTATACCATGACAGTACAAAAAAACACATTGACAACGTACATTTGACATGGAGGATTTGCCATCCACTCAGTTTCCACTTGCATGGGTGGTAAATGGCCACCCATGCAAGTGGAAACTGAGTGATTCTCATTGGCACTGATCACTGTCAGTCATTGTCACTGATCACTGTCATTGTCTGGTTGCTGCCAATGTTGCTGATTTTGTCCCTGTCACTGATGTTATTGTCACTGCTGGGCCTTTGAACCTCAGCGTGGGCCCCAGACATCCAGAGTCTGGTGGGTTCTTTTCACGATGAGTTTGTTGAAGCGTTTCATGCAAACTTGCAGAGGCAGCAACACTGTTGACAGCTTTGATTTTGGCATTTTGTAAGCAAATAATGCTTCACAAAATTTGACAAAACAACCTGAGGCCACGGATCAATCAGCAGCATTGTGATGGGCATGGCCTCCAACTTGTAGGTGCCTTGCAGTCAAATCAAAGGGAGGCCAGGGGCAAAATTGGAAAGAAGCAAGGGTCAGTCAAGACAGTGGTCGGTACTGTTTGTTTGTTTCATTCATTGGGGTGGGGTGGGGAGTCCTCCTTTTGTCCCGGGAGTCCTCCTTCCGTTCCTGGCAGTCCTCCTTCCGTTTCGGGGAGTCCTCCTTCCGTTTCGGGGAGTCCTCCTACCAGTCATTAGGCGGATTGCCTTGTTTAATTGACTTGCTCGCAGCATGGAATTAGTTGCTGGAAGCCATAGAGTTTGAACGCTTAGGGTTGCATTGGCTTCCCTTGCTTGGTTGGTGTGTCCCCAAAAACATAGAAAGTCAGCTGCTGCAAGCCATAGAGCCTC